CAGAAGGGAGGGGAAAAGATGGGGGTGGGGGTGGGGGGATCAGGGCACCAAGTGGTTGGAACTGGAAGTTGGGGGGTGGGAAAGGAGGTTTCTTCCTGCAGCCTCCTTCTCACCCTGCCCCTCATTCTGGGGGCCTGTCTCCTCCCCCCCCCACCTGAAGATCCTGTGGGCTGGGCCAGTGTCGGTGCCTTTTGTGCCTCGGTTTCCCCGTCAGGCCCCTGAGCCCATCCCTCCCCCCACCCCGCCCGCGGTTCTGCGCAGACAGCGGGGAGTGAGCGCTGTCATTAATCCTGAGCTCCCCTCCCCGGGGCAGATCTTATTCTGCACCCTCAACAGCCACAAGGTGGACATGCAGAAGCTGCTGGGCGGCCAGATCGGCCTGGAGGACTTCATCTTCGCGCACGTGCGCGGCGAGACCAAGGAGGTGGAGGTCACGAAGACGGAGGATGCCCTGGGGCTGACCATCACGGACAACGGGGCCGGCTACGCCTTCATCAAGGTGCCCGCGGTGCGGGGTGGGGGGTGGGGGGGGGCGACTTTCCGGGTGCTCCAGGCCCTGGGTCGAGCCACTGCCCCCCTCTGGTCTAAGGGGGTTCTGCGGGGGTGGCCCCTGGAGTGACTCTGGGTCCCTGCAGAGGATCAAGGAGGGCAGCATCATCAACAGGATCGAAGCCGTGTGTGTGGGCGACAGCATCGAGGCCATCAACGACCACTCCATCGTCGGCTGCCGCCACTACGAGGTCGCCAAGATGCTCCGCGAGCTGCCCAAGGCCCAGCCCTTCACCCTGCGCCTGGTGCAGCCCAAGAGAGCCTTCGGTGAGGGCCACCTGTGGCCTTGGGGGCCGGCGGTGGGGGGAGCTCTTGGGGAAGTGGGTTCTCTTGGGGAAGTGGGTCAGCGGAGGGGGTGGGGTAGGATGGAAGGTTCTAGATGCCTCTGGTGACATGACGGGGAACTTCTGGCATTGTATTGGGAACAGGTGGGTGGTTTCCATACTGTTACAGTCTAGCTGGGGACGGGGGGAGTTTGGGAAGATGGAGGAAGGATGAGGCGGTGTTTAGATCTATTGTGTCACTTGGTGGGAGCTTTTAAAGTGCTGCTTTAAGGCTGTGAACATAAGGGGGCTTTTGAAGGCTAAGAAAGTTCCAGAAAGTCTCAGCTGGTGGTTTCCCAGTGTTTACAAAGAGTGGATCCACCCAGAACACGTGCCCCTCCACCGCTCTGTCCCCTCCAGACATGATCAGCCAGAGGAGCCGGAGCAGCAAATGCCCCGTGGAAGCAAAAGTGACCAGCGGGCGGGAGACCCTGCGGCTTCGTTCTGGGGGGGCTGCCACAGTAGAGGAAGTGGTGAGTGAGGGGAGGGGGGCCTTCAGGGACTCTAACACCTACAGCTCTAACTCTGAGCCGGCGTGACCTAGGCTGAGACCTCCCTCACACAGCGCCGGTTTCCCACCTGCAGAATGGGTCTTCAGGTGAGGCGGGGCAATGGTGGTTGTGCAGAAGCATTGGCACACGAGGTCCCGGCCTGCTGGTACCCAGGGGAGGAGCCTGGGAGGGGGCTGGGCTGCAGGGATCTGTGGTTCTGACCCTCTGTTTTGTCCCCCTGCGCCCCAGCCCAGTGAATTTGAGGAGGAGGCCTCTCGGAAGGTGGATGACCTCCTGGAGAGTTACATGGGCATTCGGGACCCAGAGCTGGGTAAGGGGCCAGGGTAAGCCGGTGGACCCTGGGGGGAGGCCAGCCCACTGGGAGGAGGTCGGGTCCCAAGGGGAAGTTGGGGTCCCAGAGCACTCTTACCCACTTTCCTTCCCACCCTGGCAGCGTCCACCATGGTGGAGACATCCAAGAAGACAGTGAGCGTTCAGGAGTTTGCACGCCGTTTAGACTCCGTCTTGGGCGAGTTCGCCTTCCCGGACGAGTTTGTGGTGGAGGTGTGGGCCGCCATCGGGGAGGCCAGGGAGGCCTGTGGCTAATTTGCCCCGGGGCTGAGCGCAGCCCCAGTCCGGAGCCCAGCCCCCTGCCCCAGCCCTGCAGGCTGGTTCCTGAAGCCCAGCCCTGCTCCAGAGCCCAGCCCAGATCTGAGACCCAGTCCCCCTCTAGAGCCCAGGTCATCTCTGAGACCAAGGTCACCTCTAGAGCCCATACCAGTTCTGAGACCAAGCCTAATTCTGAGACCAAGCCCTGCTCTAGACACCAAGCCAGCTCTGAGGCCAAGTTCATCTCTAGAACTTCATCTGGTTCTGAGACCCAACCCAGCTCTAGAACCCAGGCAAGCTCTGAGACCAGGTTCAACTCTAGAACCTATACCAGTTTGGAGACCAAGCCCAGCTCTGAGACCAAGCTCTGTTCTAGATCACAGGCCAGCTCTGAAGCTAAGTTCATCTCTAGAACACAATCCAGTTCTGAGACCCAACCTAGCTCCAGAACCCAGTCCAGTTCCAAAACTCAGCCCACCTCTAGAACCCAGGACAGCTCTGAGGCCAAGCCGAGTTTTGGCATTAAGTCAAGTTCTGGAACCCAGACAAGTTTTAAGACCCAGCCCAGCTCTGTGATCAATGCCAGTATCAGAAGCCAGCCCAGCTCTATGACCAAGCCCTGCCATAAAACTCAACCTGACTCTGGAACACAAGATAGCTCCATGATGCTGTCAGACCTGGACACCCAGTTTAGTTCAGGAACACCAGTTAGTTCTGAAACCCAGGTGAGACTTAAGAATCAGCCCAACTACAGAAACCTCTCCAGCGTAGGATTCAAAGACAGCTCCCAAACCCAACCCTATTCACGAACCCAGACCAGCTCAGGAACCCCGATGCATGGGGCAGCTCAGCCCAGATCCCAACCCTGCTCTAAAACTCAGTTTCACTCAAGTATCCACCCCCATTCTGGGGCCCAGTCCAGCTCCAGTGATGAGTCCAGCTCAGAAACTGAGCCCAGCTCTAGACCCCAGCCTAGTGCTACAACCAGGCCCATCTCTAGAATTCAGACGAGCCCTGGAACCTCATCCATCTCTGAGGTAAGGCCTGTCTCCACAACCCAGCTTGATGCTGAACCCCACTCTCACTGCAGTACGAAGACCAGCTCTAGAACACCTTCCAACTCTGGGGCCCAGACCAGCTTCAAGGACTGGCCAATTTCCAGAGCTCACTCCAGATCAGGCACCCAACCCAGCTCTAGAACTCAACCCAGTTCTGGAGCACAGACGGTCTCTGAAATCTCATCGAGCTCCAAAACACAGTCAGTTGCTGATACTGAGTTGAGTTCCAGAATCCAGCTAAACTCTAGTCCTGGGACCCAGACCAATGCAGTAACAGACTTAAGCTCCACAACTCTGTCTAGCTCCAAGAGCAGGCCCAGCTCCAGGACCCAGGCCTGCATGGCTCAATCACCTTCTGGGACTCAGCTCATCTTGGAAACCCCTCAGGCCACAACCCAAGGCAGCTCTGATATTGATCCAAACTTTGCAAAGCAGGTCAGCTCTGCAACTCAGCTCATCTCTAGAGTCCAGTTCAGCTCTGAGACTCAACTCAACTCTGAAACCCCCACCAGCTCAAGGATACAGCCCAGTTCTGGAACCCACCTTAGTTCTAGAATCCAGCCTGTTTCTGGAACTAAACCCAGCTTCAGAACCCAGACAAGTTCTGGAGCCCAGCTTGGTTCGGAGACCCAGCCCAGTTCTGGGGCCCAGACCAGTGCAAGAATTCAACCCAGCTCTGGAGCCCAGCTCAGTTCTAGAACCCAGTCTAGCTCTGAGACCCGGCTCAACTCTGAAACCCAGCTCAGCTCCAGAACCCAGCTTAGTACCAGGATTCAGTTTAGCTCTGAGAACCAGCCAAGCTCTGGAAGCCAGACCAGTTCAAGAATGCAGCCCAGCTCTGAAGCCCATCTTAGCTCCAAATCCAAGTCCAGCTCTGGCACCTGGCTTAGTTCTGAGTCTAAGCTCAGCTCCAGAACCCTACCCAGCTCTGAAACTCAGGCCAGTTCAAGAATACAGCCCAGCTCTGGAACCCAACTCAGTTCCAGAACCCAGCCTGTTTCTGGAACCCAAACCAGTTCTAGAACCCAGACCAGTTTTGGAACCCAGCTCAGATCTGAGACTCAGCCCAGCTCAGACACCCAGCCAAGCTCTAGAACCCTGACCAGTGCAAGAATTCAGCCCAGCTCTGGAGCCCAGCTCAGTTCCAGAACCCAGCCCAGCTCTAGGATTCAGTTCAGCTCTGAGACTCAACCCAGCTCTGAAACTCAGGCCAGTTCAAGAATACAGCCCAGCTCTGGAGCCCAGCTCAGTTCCAGAACCCAGCCTGTTCCTGGAACCCAAACCAGTTTTAAAACCCAGACCAGTTTGGGAACCAAGCTCAACTCAGACACCCAGCCCAGCTCTGGAACCCAGACCAGTGCAAGAATTCAGCCCAGCTCTGGAGCCCAGTTCAGTTCCAGAACCCAGCCCAGCTCCAGGATTCAGTTCAGCTCTGAGACCCAGCCCAGTTCTGAAATCCAGACCAGTTTAAGAACTGAGCCCCACTCTGGAATCCACCATAGTTCTAGAACCCAGCCTGTTTCTGAAACCCAATCCGGCTCCAGAACCCAGACCAGCTTAAGAATCCAGCTCAGTTCTAGGAATGGGCTTCGCCCACAGACCCCAGGCCTTGACCCTAGAATCCAGTCTGATCCCACTCCTCCAGCCCGACCTCAGCCCCCAGACCCACCACCAAGAGCCCCAACTCCGGGCCCCAGCAAAGTCTCTCAGCCTCAACCCCAGCCCCATGATCTGGTACGTGGAACCCAGGCCAATACTGGCAGAAGCCTGCCGACACCCCACCTGGCCCCAAAGCCGCAGGCCCCCTTGACTCGCCAGAAACCAGCCCTTTTACCTAAGCCCCAGGTGGGACCCCGTAAGTCCACCCCACCTACCACATCTGTCACCCCTAGTTCTGCCTCCGGGGTGGCCCTCCTTCGGTCCCAGCTCCCTGAATCCCCAGCTCAGGAGCCTGCCCACACCCCCATGCACAGGGGGTCAGGGACTGCTCTGCGAGGGTCAGAGCCCCTCCCCCACCACAAGGAGCTGTAGCTTAGGGGTGACATAGTTTTGGCCCTTGGTGGGCCCCATCCTCTCTCCTTCCCCTCCCAGCTCTGGTCCCCCAGAAACGGCAGGTGACCTCATTCCCCCACAGGTCAGGGGAGGGAGGATGGAAACGGGCTTCAGTTTCATTGGGCCTGGCTCTGGGCGGTGTAAGCAGATCCCAGGTCTGTGGAAGGGAAAGGGGGAGAGGGAGGGGCAGGAGGTGGTTTGCTCTTCATGTACCTCGAGGGCTCATGGGGAATAAAGGCACATCCCACCCCTGCAGCCAGGTGTGTTGTATTTGAGGGAGGTTTGGGGAGAGCAGAGGCAGGGGCAGGCATGAGGGTCCGGGGGGCTAGCACAACACTGGCTGCTTCTTAAGCACCTACTATGTGCCAGGTGCTTTGCGAGTACTCACTGTGCATGGGTTCGTGTATTCACACATGCATGACGCTCCTCAAAACCTCAGTCATTCGTCCATTCGGTCCATCTTTTTTGAGCACTTATTGTGGGCCAAGTGCTGTTTGTTCAAGACACTGGGAGTCTGAGTGTTAAGTGAATGACCGGCTAAACGATAAGCTTATAAGGGAATGACTGCATCTAGGATGGAGGAAGCGTGTGTCACTCCGTGGCCTTGTGTGCGTCTCCCACGGGTTTAATACCAGAACCCTCTCTAGGGGCGACAGGAAGGATTCCAGAAGACTGGACTCAATGGGGAGGTGGGCGAGGAGCCAAAACCCAGTCTCATCCCCTCTGCCCGGCCCCGCCTTCTGCTCGGTTGCCACAGGGCTGGATAACAATCTGATGCGCCAAACTTCAACAAGTGACCACTGACTTCCAGACCCAAAGGGAAATAAAGCCGCTGGGATACATTTTGGCAAGAGAGGGGGCGTCCTGCCCATTTATATTGAATCTTTTCTAGGCAGAGCCTTCTCAGGTTGGGGTGTCAAAGGGGATCAACTGTACCCCACAGAACAGGTCATATTCAGTGGTCAGACCCCCAATTTCCTGGGCACTTCTGGAAGGGGAGGCTTACAAGTTTAATTGTCTCCAGATACCCTCCCGACACTCCCACTCACCCAGCCTGAAGTTGGGAGGGGCCTGAGAGAAGAAAACGGCCTTGGAAAGGGGGGTCAGGGAAGATTGGGGAGCCCCCAGGGCTGACGGAAGACAGCTCACAATCCTGCCACTCAAACTCTGCTCATCCTGCACTCCCAGCTCCCGGACTTCAGGGTGGGCAGCTGTGACTGTCAGGGAGGCCCGAGGTTGAACGGCCGCTGTCCTTCTGGAGCCACCACTGATGTCTCCCTGCCCCTATGCCATGGTGGGCCTCCGGGCGAGCTGGGGCTGCAGGGAGAGCGACCGGGACCGGGTACTGAGGCCAGGGTGGAGGCGCCGGATCACGGCCCGGCGGAACAGGATGTACACCCAGGGGTCCAGGATCTGGTTCCAGGTGGCCACACGCAGGTAAATGAGCAGCTGCTTCTCCGTGGCTCGGGACAGCTGCCCGGTGGGGCTCATGGATGGTGGGCTCCGCAGCACCGTCTGGGCGATGAAGACCTGTCAAAGGCCAGAGCAGTTACCCAGGAGTCAGGCCGGCCTCCAGCCCTGCCCCTCCACCAGCACCTCTGGTCCCCTAAGATCCAGCACCGATTCTGTTACTGCTGTGCTGCGTGACCTTGAGAGAGCTGCCTGACTTCTCTGAGCCTCGGTTGGTGTGGCCACAGAGTAAGCACTCTCCTCCTGCTCCTCCCCCGGGCACGATTAAATGTGGTGCAAAATAAGATTTGCAGGTGCAAACAGTTGGAATTACTGTTACAACCAGCATTGTTATTCTATTAAATAGTTTATATTTTATAAACATTTCATAATATATTATAAAACCATAGGATAAAATTGTATATAGCCTTAGCCGGTTTGGCTCAGTGGATAGAGTGTCGGTCTGTGGACTGAAGGGTCCCAGGTTCAATTCCAGTCAAGGGCACATGCCCAGGTTGCAGGCTCAATCCCCAACAGGGGCATGCAGGAGGCAGCCAATCAATGATTCTCTCTCCTCATTGGTGTTTCTATCGCTCTCCCTCTCTCTTCCTCTCTGGAAAGAAAAATTGTATATAAAATAACCTATTTCATATTTTATTTTAAAGGATTTAATATAATTTATGTTTTATAAAATGTTATGACAAATACTTTTATATTAAAATGTTATATCAAAATATTAGATTAAATTATTTTAATATATTTTATCAAATATTGAATTTTACATGTAATATTACATAATATATCATGTTATTTACAATGATAATACAATAATTATCTAATAATTAATATATTGTTGATTATAATTATATAGTTATATATTAGTTAAAAATTTAGACATAATTATAA